TTCTTAATTTCTGTCTGTGGGTTTGTGTTGTGTGTGTGTATAGAGTGCACGACGTCTGCAGCACGAAAAGGACACTGTGGTGACCCTGACCCATGAGAGCGACGCACTGCAGGTCAGGCTGGCAGAGGAGGAACAGGCTCTTGGTCGGCTGGAGCAGGTGATGAATCTGGTGGATCGTTTTGAAGCGGGTGATAAGGAGGGCAACCCTGCGCTCTGCCTTCAGGAGTGCGCTAAGATTTTTCAACAGCTGCAGACAGAGTTCTATCAAGAGTATAAAACCTTGGGTTTGGGAGACCTAGCTGTGTCTGTGGTGCATCCTTTATTGAAGGAGAGACTTCGCAGCTGGGATCCACTGAAGGTATACATTTTATATAGTATGTATTTATACTACTGTTCAAAAATTTGGGCTCAGCAAGGTTTTTTAATGTTTTTGAAAGTCCTTTATGCTCACCAAGGCTGCATTTATTTGTTAAAAAGTAGTGCTGTCAAATGATTAATTGCAATTAATTGCATCCAAAATATATATAAATATAAAATTAAAATTAAAATTTGTTTACCTAATGTATGTGTGTACTGTGTATATTAATTATGTATATATAAATGCATACAAATACAATTATTACATTTTTGTTTAAAAAAAACAAACAAAATAATATATATATAATTGCTGTCAAACGATTAATCGCATCCAAAATACGTTTTTGTTTACATAATATATGCATGTGTGCTGTGTATATTTATTATGCATGTACATATTTCAGAAAAATGTTGTTTATATATTAAATATTTATTTATATTAATTATATGAATATATAGACATGTAAATGTTTTAAAAATGTATACTGTATGTGTGTATTTATATATACATAATAAATATAAACAGAACACACATATATTGTGCAAACAAAAACTTTTATTTTGTATGCGATTAATTGACAGCACTAATATATATATATATATGCATGTGTATTTATATGTACATAATAAATGTACACAATAAACCCACATATTATGTAAACCAAAACTTTTATTTTTGATGCGATTAATCGTTTGACAGCTCTATTAAAAATAGTTTTAAAAAATTAATATCGTGAAATATTACACATTAAAATAACTGTTTTCTAGTTGAATATATTATAAAATGTAATATATAATTTTAAAAATATATTTTTAAAAAGTCCAGTAGTCGCAAACTATTCGAAAATCTCGTTAGATCTTTGTATTAATCATCATTGATTTTGTTTTCATACTTTGTATAAGCTCTGGATTATTACATATGAATTCTGCACTCTCTGTTTATCTATAGGACTGTTCAGATGGTTTAGAGGAAGTCGGTCAGTGGAGAGCCATTCTTGAAAGCTCACAATCTCTTCATGGTGGCCCAGACACTTCTAACATGGACCCCTATCACAGGTAACCCATATCTGGAAGTGTGTATGTGGAGTGTCTGTGGAAGCAAATGACTCGAGCAGGAGGTTTGTGTGCAGGTTGATATGGGAAGTGTTGGTTCCAGTCATGAGGAGCTGTGTGTCTCAGTGGCAGCCTAGAAACGTGGGGCCCATGGTGGACTGTGTGGAGTGCTGGGCTCCTGTATTGCCGCTGTGGATTCTGGACCATGTTTTGGAGCAGCTTATTTTCCCACGACTACAAAGAGAGGTTTGTGCTGACCATATGACCAATTCACTTTGTACATTTTCTTGTCAAACATAAGTATGTTTAGGATCTAACCTCAATCTGGTTTTGGATAGGTGGACAATTGGAACCCACTGACAGACACAGTGCCAATCCATTCATGGGTTCATCCCTGGCTGCCTCTGATGCAAACCCGTCTTGAGCCGCTGTACGCACCCATCCGCAGTAAACTAGCCCATGCCCTGCAGCGCTGGCACCCCAGCGACTCCTCCGCCAGACTCATTCTACAACCCTGGAAAGATGTCTTCACACCCGGTGCCTGGGAGGCTTTCATGGTCAAAAATATTGTTCCCAAATTAGGTATGTGCTTATCTTTTAGATTGTCAGTGTCAGACTTAGGGAGTCTCTGAAGGTTTTGCTACTGTGTTGCAGCTCTGTGTTTAGGAGAGCTGGTGGTGAATCCTCATCAGCAAGTACTGGAACCATTCAACTGGGTGATGGACTGGGAAGGGATGCTCTCGGTCTCCACCATGGTTGGACTGCTGGATAAGAATTTCTTCCCCAAATGGCTACAGGTCAGTCAGTCTAAAGAATAGTCAAAAGAATGCAAAACATTTTTATGTAGAAGAAACATCAGTTAGAACCAAGCTTGACTGGTGTAATACATCAGTATGGCTTGCATTTTGGAACCAAATGTGTGATTGACTTAGAGTACCACTTAAGAAGAAAATTAAGGAATGGATTATCTTTTTTTTTTTTTTAAATGAACCTATTTATTAAGACATTGGCCAATATTAAAAAAAAAAGTCATTAATATTGTATTGTTTTAATAGATTTAACCAACATTGTAAACATGAATTAAATATACATATTTTAATATTAAATGTACATTTTTACATTTCTATTCCAAGTTTAAAAAGTGATTCATTCATTTTACTGTTACAATGAACTACATTTATTCATAAACAACTATTAGTGTTAGAAAAACTATTAGAAAATGTTACATTTGTTTTAGATGAATACATTTCTTTATTTTACCCTTAAGTGTCACTCGTACATTGAAGTGGAGTACTAGGTGCTTCTTTTGTTTCCTGGTGCAGGTGTTGTGTTCCTGGCTCAGTAACAGCCCAAACTATGAGGAGATCACCAAGTGGTATCTGGGCTGGAAAAGCTTGCTCTCAGAGAACCTGCTCAGTCACCCACTGGTCAAAGAAAAACTGAACGAGGCCCTCGACATCATGAATCGTGCTGTTGCGTCCGGACTAGGTCAGTCACTAGAAAAAAATATAACATACGAAGTCCACTAAATGTGTTTGTAGCTTTGTACAGGTATCTCATGCTACCTTCAACTTCACTTATGTCTTTTGCAGGTGGGTATATGCAACCAGGAGCAAGAGAGAACATTGCATATCTGATTCAGACGGAGAGAAGGAAAGATTTCCAGTGCGAGCCTCAGCCTGAGCGCCGTGACATGGAGAATTCTGGCACACGGCCACCAGGCACCGCAGCGGTACCAGCATCTGTACCTACCAACTTTAAAGATCTAGTCCAGGCCAAAGCTGAGGAGAATGGCATTGTCTTCATGCCACTGGTGGCTAAACGGCATATGGGCAAACAGTTGTTCACATTTGGTAGAATAGTCATCTACATTGAGCGTGGAGTGGTCTTTGTCCAAGGCGAGAAAACCTGGGTTCCAACATCACTACAGAGTCTGATTGACATGGCCAAATGAGACTGATGCTCAGTCAAAGAGAAGCTGTTTAAATGTTGCTGTCTAGTCTGCTTCCATGCAGTTTGTAACACTGTATTAGACTTGTCTATCAATGTTGTTTTATATTGCTGAAGAACAGGGTTTGAATAAATTTGTTTTTAAATTAACACCATGCTTGAATGTTGTATTTAGCTTCCCACCACATTTTCGTTCAGACTAAATACAGATGTCACAACACCCTCCCCCAATAAAAAAAAAAATGAAACAAATGTTAAAAAAAATTTTTGATTTACAAAATACAGAACATGAGGGAAAACTTATTTCCATTAGAAAAGTAAAGAAACACAGTATCACATGGAAATAAATGACATTACTTTATACATAATTTGATCGTCCAATGGAATGTTTCAGAGCAAACCTGTTGTGGTTCTTTGTATGTGAAAGTGTCTATCTACAGAAGCAGACAGTCAGCAGATAAACATGTAAATGCATTCTGATAAACTGCTGTTTTATAGTCCCAGCTCTTCTGTCTTAGAAGTCCTTCTGAAGATCTGCAAAAACCAAAAATCAATCCCATTCAAACAATCAATGATACAATCTGCACAGTCACAACAACTAGAACCACCATCATCATTTTAAGGATGCCAACACTTAAGATAATCCTTATTTTTTATTATATAATAGCCAATATTAAGATTATGAGCGATTTTGTCTTACTGAATAAAAATAAACCACTAAAACATAAAATCAAATCATATGGACTAAAGATTACATTTTAACAGTGCTAAATTTGTGTTTTTTAAAGAAACTTTGTTGTCATTTAATGCTCAAATTTAAATGTAAAAATAGAGGATATTAGCATGCAGAATTAATTATGCAATATTGACCAATCACCGATGTGTCATGCATCCTTAATCCATTTGTAATGTAAAAGCGGAGTGTATGTGAAAGACATGAAAGTCCGAGAAAAACAAAGAAACTTTTTCTATCTCACCACTCTTCTTCAGCATCTCTCCTTTCCGAGATCGAGCCATTGCCTCCAAAAACGGATCAAAGACCTTCGCATATTTGGCCAGGCTGGTCCGCTTGTAGTCTACAAATAACCAAAACCATGTTTAGCACACAGTACCTGCCCACAGAACTGAAGTTGACTCCTGAACAATACCAACATATATAAACCGAACAGTCAATGTTTGCTCACCTCTGATTCTGCGTCGTTCTCCAGCTTCTTGTTCATTCTCCTGGTCCTTCATGTCATCTTCCTCCGCCTCATCTGCTCTGGGTCTCTCCAGCTCTTCACAGATCAGACTACAGAGAGACAAGTGAGTCTAGCATATCTAACTTCAGACATAAGCTCCTCAAGTATTTTTAGAAACCACAGCATATATAAAAGCACTCGTCACATTATATGGAACAACCTGACAAAGATAGTGACTTATATATTAAGTATTTACCTGATCGTTGGGACCTCAAAAGGATCAAACATGTTCAGTTCTTTCAGATCTATTGGCACTGAGATTCGACCTAAAGAAAATGTTGAATACAAAAAGATGTTTAAAATCAAATTGAAATGACATTTGCAACCCATTGTACCTGAAACTTAAAAGCAGCACTATGTAACTTTTGGCGCTCTAGCGGTTAATAAACAGAACTGCACACATGCCGCGGAAGAACATTCCAACCGGCGCTACTTCTCTAAGTTTACGTCTCTGGCGATTCACGCAGGTATGTGTTACTCCGCAGCGGTGACGGCCCTGAAGCGCACGACTCGCCGTCGCTTTGTTTCACACACACGCGGAGAGAGAGATGCGCTACATGTAAACGATATTCTTTGTTGTATTTTGCGGTCAAAATAACCTTTGTTCCTTTGGAATTCTTCAGCTTTTAAGATCTACCGCTTTCTCCGGCAGTGGGCGGAACTAATGCGCAAACGGCAATCTCATTGGCTGGCGTCCCTGTTTTGATTTCAGCGAATCATTTCGAGCGAACGCACACAACCTGATTAATATTCATGAATCCAGTAGCTCATTAATCCTTGGTGCGTTTTATATTGTTCTTATTAGTAGAATTCGTATCATTGTTATCTTATAGTGTTTTTTGTTAGTTTTCCCCCAATTTTGTTTTTTTACATAAACACTGAATGACCAAAAAAAGCACCACCACCAGTTCGAAGTTCAGTTAAAATGACTAATATGCATTCATACATGGTTATCAAGTTTTCATTCTAATTACTAAATTTTTTGTTAGTTTTCCCCCAATTTTGTTTTTTTACATAAACACTGAATGACCAAAAAAAACTGTGCCATTTTACAAACAAACAAACAAACACACACACATACATATATATATATATATATATATCAGTCTGGCGAGTAAACTAAACTAAACAATTTACTAGCCAATGGCGATTCAATTGCCAAGGTGTTAGTAGAGGGCTGTAATTTATTCCTGTGATGGTAAAGCTGAATTTTCAGCATCATTACTCCAGTCTTCAGTGTCACTTGATCCTTCAGAAATCATTCTAATATGCTGATTTGTTGCCAAGGACACATTTATTATCATCAATATTAAACACAGTTGTGCTGCTTAATATTTTTGTGGAAATCAAGTTTTCATTCTAATTACTAAGGTTCTATCATTAAATAATGTTGATTATCATATTATAATGCTTCTGACTGATGTTAAGAGTGTACTTTCAGATATTTATAAAACTGTGCCATTTTACAAACAAACAAACAAACACACACACATATATATATATCAGTCTGGCGAGTAAACTAAACTAAACAATTTACTAGCCAATGGCGATTCAATTGCCAAGGTGTTAGTAGAGGGCTGTAATTTATTCCTGTGATGGTAAAGCTGAATTTTCAGCATCATTACTCCAGTCTTCAGTGTCACTTGATCCTTCAGAAATCATTCTAATATGCTGATTTGTTGCCAAGGACACATTTATTATCATCAATATTAAACACAGTTGTGCTGCTTAATATTTTTGTGGAAACTGATACTTTCCCCCCTCAAAATAACTCATTTTAAGAACAGTATTTGAATTAGTAAAGAAATTTGTGTTACAAAAGATTAAAATTATTATTGTATTTCAAAAAAACAAAAACTTCCCTTACCCCAAACGTTTAAACAGCAGTGTATAAAGTCAGTTACTCAGGTAAAGTTAGATCTCACCTGTCTTAGGGTGTACGCTGAAGGGGCTCTTCAGTAAGTGGTTGACTCCTTTTCTGACGTTGATATCCAGTCGCGGGTAACAGTACTGCAGCATGATCTCCTTATCGAAGTACTAACCACCCTTCCTACTATTGGACTTCACAGACGCACATGAAAAATTAAAATCATAGGAAACTGAACTACCTTCCCTGGTGAAAGATTTCATTTGTCTACAAAGAGGAGATCTCAATGTTGTTGCGTGGCCAGTGGTGCCAGTACTTTGCTTTTACCTTTTTACGCTCAACCAGATCGCAGAGTTGGTCCCATTGCTTCATCGGGTCCTTTTCATCCTTATAAGAGACTGCCAGGTCTTTTTTGATATGTGCAAGTCAGACTTAAAGAAATAACGGTTAACTGGACTCCTCATATAAAAGGAGTTACACTAATCAAATACTTATATTGGATACAATGAAAACCTGCTTGAATCATGAACAAGTTAAGTATTTCCAATCTTTTTTTTGATATGGTACCAAAGCTGGTGCCGAGAATTGAGAAATTTGACTGGTATTTGTACCGACTACTGAAATATTGGTATTGTGACAGCACTACTGGGAATGAAAGGATATCTTCAGGCAACAGAGCGAGCACTTTGTCTACACTCTCCTTACTGCCCAATATGTCCTGGTCCACAATGGCGTATTGTTGGAAATAGTGCTCCACCACAGACAGAGAATGACTAAAAGAAAAAGAGAGAGCCTACAGTTATATCATTGGCATGTAAGGAAGTAAGTCATTATTTCCCCTTACTTGATGAAAGGATGGATTGGATCTGACAACACAACTTTTCTCACAGTCTCCTCACCACCCTAAATAAACATGCACAGGGCACACAATTAATTAATTAAAATACAGCTTTTAGACTACACAGCTGAACATGATAAACAGTTTCTAGAATGATCAATTATCTGATATGCGAATACCTTGACTAAACTGAGATACTCTGCCACGGCAGACCGCGCCACCACCGAGAGCTTCCTAGCAGCATCATCACAAACCCAACAATGCAGCCCTCTCCGGCCCGAGTACACCCATAAGAGATGATGGAATCCAAAGTCCTCTGAACCACATGAACAGCACAAGTTTGTTAAATTTGTTTTGTTTGTATATTTGTTATGATGTTACTCAAAACTGTAAAAGTTCTGTTGATAAAAAGTTATGCTTACCCGCTTAAAAGTGCCCGGTCCAGAATACGGATCGCGATGGTCATTAGAGTCCAGCACTTCCAGCACTGAAGAGCAAAAAGAACATTTATAAAAAATATAAATAACTGCATTTAAAACAATAATCCATAAGATGAAAGAAGCAGAAAAGGCATCTGTATAACTGCAGCAACGTCTGACATCATCATAGTCTGTCATGTCAATGTCAAACACCAGCTCCTTCTCCAGGGCCTGGAAGGTTCCAGACTTCACCGTGTTATGTTGACTGGGCTGTCAGAGAACCAGAGAAATTACGATCTTTTCATTTCATTTTTTTCCCACAAGAAATATGAAGCAGATTAAAGTAGTAGTAGTTATTTATTTTTATTGCAATGTCAGCATCTAAGGCTATCTTCATGGCAAAAACTGAGTAGCAATTAGGGCTGCACGATAAATCGAAATGGAATCGAGATCGCGATTCGACAGAAGCTGCTATTGTCATGCGTATCTTTCAGTGAAGCACGGTTCTGTGATCAGCAGTAAATCTCCATCCAAAGGCCAGAGGGTCGCTCTCACGCTGAAACTCCAAATACACCTCGCAGAAGAAACCCAGAAAATGCCTATCCCTGCAGCTAAATAAACAGAAGATTCAACTGCTTTCATTGATTCAACGTGACTAATAAACACACGACTACGGCAATATACGGATTATCTGAGTTCTTATTATTATCATTTTCATTAAAATAAAGTATATTTATAATGCAATGCCTTTATCACTGCTTAAATACTATGAAATATGTTCGTGC